TGGGTTCCACCTAACCCAGCAGATCTGGGTTCGGTGGAACCCAGGCTGGGTTCCATCGAACCCAGCAGAGGGTTCAATGACCCGCGAGGAAGAAAGGAGAGGAAGAAAGAAGAGGAAGAAAAAAAAAAAGAAAAAGAGAAAGGAAAAAGATGAAGGAATTATATTAATTTATTTTTTAAAATATAAATAATGATAATAATATGAGTTGGCATGAAAAAAAATTCCACGTCAACATGTTTTCAATTTGCTTTTGCCACCTCATCAAAAAAATAATAAAAAATGCCACGTGAGCGAGTTAACAGTCGAAATTAACAGAAGGACTAACGGAGTGCATTTCGTATAGTTATGGGATCAAAAAAGTGCAAAAAATTGTTAAGGGACCAAAAATATGCAACTCACTAAAGTTGAGGGACCAAATCTAGCATTTAACCTTCTTTCTTTCTTACTTTTCTTTTTCTTTTCTTTTTGTTTCCCTCCCAGCCATTTTTGCGTGTCTGCTCATTTCCTTCTCCCCTGCACCGAACAAGCCTTCAGCCAAGCCCAGCCACCATCGCCTACTCCTCTTGAAAAATTGGTAAGATCTTGGTAAATTCCTTTCCTTTTCTTGTTAAACAACAAGATTTAAAGCTTAAAACTCTCCCTAAACCAGAAAATTTTCAGATCTGCTGCCTTCTTCCTCTTTTGCCGCCGGTTGCTACTGGGGTGAACTTCGGTTTTCCTGGTAAAAATCAACCATGAAATCATCTCTTAAGTCTTGATTTATGTTGGGTTCACTCTAATTGTTCTTATTCCTTTCAATTGCATGCTAGTTCCCCTCCAAGATCCCGCCAGCCTCCTTTGCCGCCAACTCCAATTTCTTTGCTTGCTGAATTTTCTGGTATGTGGCAACTCCTTTAAGTCCAAATTTCATTTAATTGGTGGTTGCCTTGCTGAATTTGGTCCTTGTGTGGCTGCTCTGCGATTGTCCGAATGCTGCCAAGAAAAAAATGGAAGATTTCGGTAGCTTTAATTGTGTTTTAGTTAATTCATGTGGAATTTGCTTATTTTGGTTGCTGTGAGGTTAATTGTGGGAAAATTCTATGAAATTCCCATGAATTGGCTATTTTTGCCTAAGCCAGTTCCTCCATTTTGCCTATGAGATTTGGAAATTAAATATAAATGCACAATATGATTTTTAGAGCTCAAATTTCGGATAGGAAGTAAAATAAAATAAATAAAATAAATAAAATAAATATTGCATTATGGAGGTTAATTGCTGGCAATATTGAAAAAGGTTAAATAGGTAGTTTTCACATGGTTATTAACTCTGGAATATTTTGGCTAGGTTTCTAATTATTCTATCACCCTAGCTCTTGGAGTGAGCTTTTTGCTTTATGCGATTAAGGTAAATAAATTTATGTTAATGCTCGTACAGTTTTTAAAAGCATGTTTTGACTTGTTTTTGAAGTGGTGGCAGGACTAAATCCATTTTATACAAAATGAGCATGATTGATTTGAAATAAGATTATTATTCTTTTCATTAAGTTGAGCATACCTATTTGAAATTTAATTGATTGTCCTGATGATTTGAAAGTGATTGGTGAATTATGTTTTTCTGTTAACTTCAGCTTGTTTTGTCTCCAATGTGGTCATGTTATTAGTGGACCTGCTAGTGGCGGTTAAACGCTAGCACATGTCGACATGTCAGTGATAGAGCCGGTTCATTCGAGTGACCCTGCTATTGGGGATTATACACTAGTAAATAGTGCGCCTGCCAGTGGGTGGTTTATAACACTGGCTGTGATCTATAGAGGAGACATCTATTTCGTTCTCGTACTGTATCCGTTTTTCATGATTGCACTTGTTGGCATGTTATAAGTTTAATAAGGGGCACTCCATATTTTACTTACTGAGTTTATCTCATAGTTTTCCTTATTCACCATTTCAGGTAGTGAGACCCAACGCATGGGGAGCCCAAGGGAGTGACGAGCTAGACGGTTAGGCACTTTTGGACTTAGATTTTTGTAACTAGGCCGTTAGTCACCCATGCTTGACTTAGAAATTTTGTGTATAGAGCTTCTGTAGTTTTAGTCATGATTGTATGTATGAAGTTAAAAGTTTTGTACATCTCGACTAGTAAATATTTGGTAAATAAAAAGGTTTAGATCTGAATTGTCTGAATTGCTAAGTAAGAACTTAGTAGGTTTTGAGTTTTGTGCATTTGTGGGCCCCGCTCATGAGTGCACGGCGTCTATCTCGCTCCGGGGTTTGGGGCGTGACACTTATAGCTAATTCTAGTGGAATAGAAGTTGTAAATATTCTTGATGAGTCTACCTATGCAAGTAGGAAGGTTAGAGGTTGCCTTTGATAGATTACACCAATTAATCTAAGAGTACTTGCTAAAATAGGTTTAGCGCAAGACCCTTTGCTTTTATAAACATGCTTGCCATGGTGGAACTTTGAGCCTATGTATAATGTGAATAAGGTTCCTTAGTGATTCATATTCAATCTAAAGGTTCAAGCCTTGGCCATTTTTAGACATGCATTATACAATACTAGTATACTTAGTAATATTGTTAGAAAATAAGTGGCGGATTGTTACATATATATATATATAGGTATTTTCTAATAATATATTTCTTATTTACATTATATAATATTATATAATATATTATTATATATATACATTACTTTAAGGGATGCATGTGGGTACGACTTTAATGCTTGAAACATGGAGTAATGTCAGAACAAGGAAGAAAGAGAAAAAGATAAAGATAGAAAAGAGTGGTTGAACTTTTTTGCAATGCTTTATCTAAAAATTCAAAGTTGAATTTGAGATGGAAAAAACCATCTTAAATGGATTGAAATATTTGAAATATTATCTGGTATAAATACTAAATGCAAAAGAGTCATAATTCGTTGAAGAGTTGTATACGCTTTATACCAGTGTAAAAGCCACCCATTAGGGCTTGTAAATAAATGAAAAATACAACCTCATGAACAGATTAACTTTTTCTTAGAACTTTGAGTTTTCTTTATCTTCTTCCTGGAATTTTTGCACTTTGTTTTTCAAGTTTCAATATACTATTGGGTGATTCAAGTTCATTTTAGTGGGTATTGTATCTTGGGCATAACATTTCATACAGAGAGGTGGAAGCTATTATCCTTAAAAATGATTCTTGGAACTACCTTACTCACAACAATTGCATCTACAACTCTCTGCATACAACAAGTTTCATGACTATTGCATGGTCAATTTGGCATGATTAATGGAAATAACTTTATATTCAAAGAAATTGAATTCACATCTGATAAAACCTATTTAGGCAATTCAAGTTAGATCTTTTCTATAGATAAAAAGAACAACCAAAGGGTTTTATTGTTCTTTGCATGGTTGGTGTAGCAATTCCAGAGAATGCTCCAAGGCTATTGAACATGAGATGTTTAGGAGATTGTTAAATTAGATGTATTATTTGTTTACTTTCCTGACTTACATAATATTGTAAGAGAAATGAGTAGATATTTCTTGGTTAAACCCCTTTTTTGGCCCTTAACTATTGTATGGACCCTCAATTTGGTCTTTGATTTGGTCTCTATTGTTTACCATTTTAATCCCAACTTAGTCCTTTCGTTAAAAATCCACCTACGTGTCCCGTTACCTAACAGAAAAAGATGACAAGTATCTTGACATGTAGGATGTACAGCATGGCAAAAAAAACAATGACATGGCAAGAAAAAACCTTAAAATATTTCCTTTTCCCTGTTTTTTTCTTCCTTTGTTTTTCCTTTTTCCCTTTCTTCTTCCTCTTCCTTTCCTTTCACCTTCTGCAAACCCTAACACCTTTTAATATTAAATCCAAATATAACACAAACATAAACCAAAAACCTCCCCAAAATAGTCATCGACCCTAAATTCTTTTTCTTAGCCTCCCAAAAAAACTAGAAAAATCAAGGCATCTTTTCCTAAATTTCTAAAAAAAAAGAAAAAAAAAAAAAGAAAACTAAAGCATCTTTTAAGGCTTTTGAACCCAGCAAACCACTGGGTTTGACTGCTAGGTTCTGAACCCCTAGCAAATTGGCAGATCATTGGGTTCAAGAACCTAGTATATTAGTAGATCACTGGGTTCCATCGAACCCAGCCAACATATCTCTAAGTTTGACCTTTGTATTCTGGTAAGAAAATCTCTAATCATAAGCACTCAGATGCAAATTTTTTCCCTCATAACCAAATTTTGCCGAATTCTCAGTGAGAATAGCCCAAAGAAAATATTCATTAGCAAAATAATCAACTGCAACCCAAAAATATCCCTAAAATTCAAGCCTCTAAACATAAGAGGCAATAAAAAAAAAAAATTGAACCCAACAAATTGCTAGGTTATCGAGAACCTAGCATATCACTGGGTTCTCGAGAACCCAACAGATCGCTAGGATCGAACCCTTCATATCACAGGGTTCTATTGAACCCACATAGGAGATCTGTTGGGTTTCAAAGAGGAGAAAGGAGATGAGAGATGATGAAAGGAAGGAGATGAGAGATGATGAAAGGAAAGAGATCATAAGGAGATAAGAAAAGGAGATGATTAAAATCCAAGTCGACAAACAAGGATCCAGGGGAAGAAGATGAACAACAAAAGAGGTTGTAGATGAAAAGCAAGGGGTAACAAAAGGAGGAAGGAAAGAAAGTGAGGTGTGGTTGAAGATGAAGGTAAAAACGTAATTTTATCTTTATAATTTAACCTTTAATTTTTAGTTAAAAATTACACGTCAAGTATTTTTATCACATTGTTAGTTCTATGTGTCAAGATATTTAACATATCATCTTTTTCCCGTCGAGTAATTGGACAAGTACGTGGATTTTTAACGGAAGGATCAAGTTGGGGTTAAAATGGTTAACAATAGAGACCAAATCAGAGATTTTTTCAGTTCAAGGACCAGATCGAGGATTCGTACAATAGTTGAGGGACCAAAAAGGGAGTTTAACCATATATCTTTTATGCTCCACTAATAAAATTTTGTTTTTTTATTAAAAAAATATTAATTCACATAAACTACCAAGGCACATATTAGTCAATAAAATAAGAAAATAAAAAACTTTGTTTTAATTGATTTCATGAGCCTGGCGAACAAAGAGGCAAACGAATGTTAGGTCTTGGCAACAAATCTCCACACCCTCCGATCCATTCAATCAAACAAAATTAAAAAGCTAGCAAATTACATGCACTTAGTGATTCAGACCCACTATCCAGAAAATCAAACCAACAGATTAAAACAGAACTGAATAAAAATAAGGCACAGCCCACAGAAAAATATTGGAGAAGAGGTTGGGTTTGGGTGTGATTTTAGATTCGAAAATTCAAACTCTAATCTTCCTGCATACAAACTTGAAAATCATAAAATAACCAAAAAAATGAAATTTAATAAAAATTATTAAATTCATGAAATTAACAACATACACTACACTCGGCTTTAAATGTTAGAAGTACTAAAAAAAGGTTCAAAATTACACTCATTAAACATGAAATCGAGGAGGCACTCTACAGTGTACTTACTTTCCTGAGCCAACCCACCGAGTTGGTAGCCAGGCTAACTCAGCACCGAAGCCATTGATTGGGCGGGTTTAAATCAAGATGTACTATTTTTCTGTAATCTCTATATAATTTATAGGTTTACATATGATTAGACATTTTTTTTAAAGAGATTTTCAATTTAAATTATGAGTTTACACATTATACATCTTAAAAGTCCAAACCAATATGATTGTGGGGGACAATTTTTGCAGAACTCACATTGTAACCTTCATTAAGATTAATCCAAGCTCTTCGAACTCCACTACGATCCAATCCAAGCATGGGGCATCTGATTATGGATGATTGCTCTCGTCCCATTCGACCTAAGAACTTTCCCTAGTTTTTCCATTATCATTTCGAATGACCAGAATCGAAGTTCTCATTAGTTTAACAACTACTCAAGTTGAGGATCACTAACTTTTAGAATTTTAAACTTAAGTTGTTTAGTTTTAATTAGTTATGGTATTTAAATATTGACCATACTATTCATTCATTTCCAACTTGGGTTCAAGTCTTCGCACATCCACAAATAAATTCATAGAAAGAAAGACAAATGGGTAGAGAAAATAAGAAAACAGGCATAACACATCTAACATAATTGCAAAACACAAACCACGATCTTCAGATTCAGACATGTAGTTATACATCAGTCATTTTTACATACATTTTAAAACAGAACCAAAGTTACAGAGCGTACATATGAGGTTGAAGCCGAGGCTCAACAACAACCTGAAGTGGGATTTTTCGGGTTGTCGTTAGTCCAAAAATCTCCTCCATATTCAAATCTTCTTCCCTCATATTTCCAGGCAATTTCCAGGTAAATCCATGGAGAACATTAGCCAAAGTTGACTGAATCACCTTGAGCCCCAGACCATAGCCAGGGCACATCCTCCGCCCTGCCTCAAACGGTTGCAACTCGAAATCTGTCCCCTTAATGTCGATGTCCTTCCCAATGAACCTCTGGGGCAAAATTCTTCTGGGTTTCCCCACAAAGCAGGGTCCCTCCCAGTGGTCCATACGCTCACAATCACAAATATTCTAGTGCCTTTCCGGATGTCATAGCCTGCAATTTGACAGTCCCCGCGGGCCATGCGAGCGGCCAGCGTAGGAGCAACAGGGTGGAGTCTCATGGTTTCTTTGATTATGGAATTTAAGTAAGGGTGGTTGACCATATCCTTCTCTTCTACCCATCTGCCTCTCCCAATTACACTGTCTAGTTACTCTGTTTCCTTTTTGAAAATTTCTAGCCTTTTCAGGAGTTCAGCCATCGCCCATTCTATAGTGGTCGACGAACTCCCTGTTCCGCCCGCTATGAGGTCCTGCAACATCAACTGGGCAAAACAATGTTCACTACTTGCTTTAAAAAATTGAACGAAAAGAGATTCTTAGAACTTCCAATACAAAGAACAGAGGAGTAGGTATCTAATCTCTATCCAAACGTAATGAATAAACATCGAAACGATTTTTATAGCAAAAACTTATTATTGATGATTTTGTTTTGTAGGTGTTTGTTCCCTTTTAAGATATGGGAATAGAACAAAATTATATAGGTTTAATTTGGCGCTGATTATGATAACTTTTTGGATTAAAAAAAAAAAAGAGGGATCGACCTCCTCAATTTTGTTTCTAATGAATAGAAAATCTAACCAAACGTCACGTCAACAAATTAAAATATCAAAATTAATTAAATCTTTAAACTCTATTTATCATAGTTTTGGTTTTAAGTATTAAATTTTTATTTTTTGTATATTTAGTAACTATTACAGTATTACTGTATTTGAAATCAAAGTTTATTATAAAAATTTTAATTTATCAAAATTTAATTTAAATATAATATTAGTTACTAAATATATAAAAAAATAAAAACCAAAAATCTAAAATCAAAACTATGCTAAATAGTGGCTTATGATTTAAAAATAATTTACATTTTTATTTATATTATACTTAAAAAAAAGGAGATGAAAGATAATAGAAATTTTTTGTAATATGATAAATAATTAAAGTAAATAAATAAAGTTAAATTAGGGAGAAAAATACTATGTATTTGTTTAACTTAAAATAAGAAAAAATTCAAATCCTTTGTTTCAAAATATTTTTTTTTTTTTACTTTTGTTAGGGAACAATTTATGTGTTTACTTATATTATCTTAAAAAAAAAAGAGGTTGAGGTACCTTCTTATGGTATCTCCATGCAATATTAATAGTGTTAGTTTGAGTTTTTAGCTTTTTGAAAATGAAATTGAGATAAAAATTTAATGTATTATAAAAATAATAATTGAATTTTTTATCAAATAAAAATACTTAATAAAAATCATATATAGAGATAAAAATTTTCAATTTTTGTTTATATAAGTTACAAATTTTTTATCTGAAATTCTTGTAAAAAAATCAAAAAATTAAATTAAAAATACTAACTGAACATAGAGAGTAATAAAATTCAGCTCTTGGTCGATGAATAACCATACCTGAGCAAAGGCCTTTGCTCCATGTCTCTCAATCTTAACGTTAAGAGTTTGATCGTCAGCGAGCTGCAAAAAGAACATCCACCATGTCCTTCGCGATGAAATCCTTCACCCCTCCCCTCCTGCTAGTATGGCCATCAAAGCACATGCTCCAAAAACCTATCGAACTTCTTGCTCAGGGCCTTCATTCTCTTGATATGCCCCTGTAGATCGAAAAACGCCAGCTATGGGATCGAATCACCGATATCAAGTACCCCATTCAGTAGGAAAAGTTCGCCCAACATCTTCTTGAACTCACATGGTGTCACAATCTCCTTCTTCGTCTCCTCCGTGTACCTCTTTCCAGCACCAAGAGGCAAGTCACATTCAGGCTGGTGTTAAAAAGATGATCTTTTACCATCGCCATGGTACCGGATGAATTTTATAGGCCTTTCAATAGAAGATTCATTTCTTACTTTTTGATGTACTCGTAGGACTCTAGACGTTTCACGCTGAAGAGTTCGATCTGGCAAATTCTACGGGCTTGACTAAAGTAGGGGCCGTAGGGAGACCATGTCACGTCGGAGTAGTTGTAGGCGGTGTATTATCCGGCCGCGGTTTTGGGACGGGAGGCAAAATTGATGTCGTTGTTTTGAGGAATGCTTTAGCAATTTCAGGGGAGGAGCCCACCACGACGAGGAATGAGCCGAAGCGGAGTTGCATGATTGGACCATATTCTTGGGAGAGGGCGTGGATGGATCGGTGGGGAAGTGGACCGATAAGATTGAGGTTGCCAATGATGGGCCATGGTCCTGGAGGTAGGTTGAGTTTTCGGTGACCAAGGCGGAGACAGAGGGAGAGGAGGATGAGGCCTAGAGTTAGAAGCCGTACATGACCGTAGTAAGACATTTCCATGGCAGTGGCAGTGGTGGTTGCTCGGAGGTGATGGAGTTGAATTGAAGAGTACTTGGGTATGGTTTTATACGCGAGAGGGAGCAACCAAAATTGTAGAGAAATTGGATGCCTTAAAATCACCCTTTTAGTATATTTTAACAATATGGACACGATTTTTATTTTTAATTTCAAGTAGCTCAACGATGATGATGATAATAATAATGATAATAATAATAATAATAGTAATAATAATAATAACCTCTTTCATTTCTTTATGCTCTTTACTTTCCTGTTGAATATAATTGAATTTAAGGAGAAAGTCTATTATATCACAGTGATACGACGTAGGATGTGTCCAAACCAATAATAATAAACTCTTTCATTTCTTTATGCTCTTTACTTTCATGTTGAATATAATTGAATTTAAGGAGAAAGTCTATTATATCACAGCGATACGACGTAGGATGTGTCCAAACCAATTATAAGCTGACACGTAGTTATGTTGTGGGCCACAAAACACTCAACGTAACGTTCCTTCCACCTCCTTTTTCTGTCGTTTGCTTGCCTTCATCCTCCTCCTTTGTGGGTTCCACCTGCACAGAGATACTTGCAGGCCTCCTTAATCTCTTTTTTTCAAGCATAATACATCAAATTACTTTGTAAATCCATCTGCCCACTCCATCAATTTCTCTCTAAATCTTCATTCTAGGCAAGAAGAAGATGCATAAAATTTGGGTAATTAAATTGATACTGATGGTTTGGGGTTATCAAGAAGTGGAAATCATTTTTATGCTAACTTTATTTTTGGGTAATGTTCAATGCTAACTCCTTCAAAATTCCAACATCTTCTAAATCCTTTTTTTTTCAAGGGATTCAGGGGGGAAATTCCAGCATCTTCGACCTTTTTTCTAGGTTTTTTTTTTGGGTTTCAGACATCTTCTTCCATTTCAACCATGTTAAAATCCCAGATTTCCTTCTCCTCACCTGATCTGAAATATCAATAAAGTTTATGTTTTTTTTTCTTTTCTGGACCATCAATAAAGTTTCTGTTAGTGAGGAATTTTATTTTTTGGCTTCAGGTTACCAAAAAGAATGAAGAAAGAGAAACACCAAGGAAGAAGAGGGGCAAACGGCAAGAGATTCCTTTTGGATTTGAGTTTACTTATTTGAGAGTTGATTCAAAAAGCCACAATTGATGAATCGCAAAAAATTAAAAATGATTTCTTGTTTGCATTGGATATCATCGATGAGAAATTATGCAGAGGAGAGGGGATGTTTAGGGAAGAAAGAAAACTGAGGAGTTGAGGAGATGAAAGAGTACTATACACGAGGAGGAGAGAGAGGCTTTGAGCCTCTAACAAAAACTTTGTCCATTAGTTAAATTATCTATCACTCTCTTATTGGATGGGGATACCCCGTCAGCTGATGTTCCCGTTGTATAGTAAAATTTCTCTGAATTTAAGATTTTCTCTGAAAGAAAACTATGGTCAGACCATTCTTATTAAGAAAACTATGATATTTTTAATTACATCATTGTATTTTGGTATAACTGATGGGCACCTAATAAATAGTTTTGCATCTCAAGAAATTATAAAGAAAACAAATTTGATAAAATATAGTTGTTTGTTGTATCATTCTTCGAGAAATGCTCACAGGGCTCTTTTATTTTTGCATTACCCAAGCATTGAATAGTAGTACCAGAACAATAATTGTTAGTCCAATCTTTATTTAGTAATATGCATGTTCTTTATCTAGTAAAATGTTATAGCGACAATGTAACTGCTAAAAGTTAAATTGAAAGAGTATTTTTTAACAAGTTTATTTTGTTTTATTTTATTTTATTGTTATATTAGAAGTTGATTGTTTGGTATTGGAAAAGCTTGAATTTTTAATCTTAATTTTAAATAAAATTTTTTTAAATTAATAAGTATTAATTCAATTAAATTTTTATTGATTATTTTAATTTGCATTTTTGTTGTGTTGCAGGACTAATTTTCATGAAGAATAATTCGATGAGGAATTGAAGAGGCAATTAGTAGGCGGACCAAGCCTTAGGCCTTTATTTTTAGTTTGAAACCCATTTAAAAGTCCCAAAGTTTAGTCCACATTCACTACTTCAACATACCAGACCCAAATAGCCACCAATCTAATTCTAAACCCAAATCATTTAAGTCATGCTAAACCCATTTTTGCCAAGTCCAACCCGCAAAGCATTCATATAAACACCTAGTCAACAGTATAAAGTCTAATAAAAAATCACTTATAAGAATTAGCCAAGTTTATACACACTAATTTAAAAATTTTAATTTAATGTGAAGGTTTAAACTTTTGTATTAGCAAGTAATTAACCTTTCAATGTACTAAAAAAAGGTCAACAAAAAGTCAAAATTATTAATTATGAAACTTTAAAGATATTTTCAATTTCACTCAAAGGCTTTAACTTAATACAATTTAGTCCTTTAAGATTCTAACTTAATCAATATGATCCTTCCATTTAATAATTAAAATTTTAATTCAGATTATGCTATTTCAATTTACTTCGAATTGGTCCACGGATTTAAACTTGCTTCAACTTAGTACACCTTTTCAAATCTATCACAATTTCATTCTCATATTTCTAATTATCTCAATTGGATCCTAAAAATTTCCAATGTCATTAAATCATGTCCATGATTGTCTTAATTGTTTCATTGAAATCCATTTCACTTAGAAAATGTTTTGAAAGTTGAAATAGATTCCCAATATTGAGGTATGCAATTATATGTTATGCTATGGATTGTGAGGTGTTTGTGTGCCTTTTCTCACTCTAAACGGTACCCAAACCTCAATTTCTGTGCAAACTAAGTTTTAAGTAATTTGTCTTACCTCATAATTTATATAAGTAGTGACTCCAATATTTTAAAAATTTACACTTAATTTTCAATTCTAAATCATTGTTCACAAATAGAATAAAGAATCACTCAAGAAAAACAAATCAATCAACATAACAATTTTATTAAAATCCTGCACTACTTTTTCCTAATTTGATTTAAGGGTGGTGAACTTAACCCATTGGATAAGAAAAAGGTGCACTTGAACCCAACATGGTTCGAAAATGTTTACTAAAAAACCCAAATCATTAAAATGTGCTTTTAATTAATTCTCTTGTGATTTGATAAATGTACACAAAACGCATAAGTGTTTATCAGATTTTGCTTTCAATATTAATAAACTCCAAAGTTAAATGCAAAACTTGTGTTTACTAATCAACTCTTATCCCAATGTGCACTTTTATAAATTAAACTTATTATAAATATAATTTATTTATTTCTTTTATTTTATTTAAAGCTACTTGGAAATAGCTCACGAGCTCAACTATGTATGTACTTGAGCTCAAGCTCATTTGTTATTTAAATTCAAGTTGACTTAAACCCACATCAAGCGCGAGCCACTAGAGAGCTACTACTTGGAACCAACCCATTGGTTAGGATTTAGATGTATTGGGAATATAAAGAAAGACAAATACTTTCATCCAACAGGCATATTGTCTTTTGTCTGGAAACTCTATTTTATCATCACACCACCAAACATGTAGGCTCAGTTCTATATCTTACTTCTATGAAATTATGGATAGTTTGGTGTCTTTATTTGCCACTTTTACTGAGGCTAAACGCAAAACGTGGCATTACAGAAAGTATAGATGGGGTGGAAGTCGAGGCTCAACGACGGCCTCAAGCAGGATTTTTCGGGGCGTCGACAGTCCAAAGATCTCCTCCATATTCAAATCCTCTTTCCTCATATTTCCAGGCAATTTCCAGGTAAATCCATGGAGAAGATTCGCCAGACTCGACTGAATTACCTTAAGCCCCAGAGCATACCCAGGGCACATCCT